CTGCAATTGGAAAGATCTGCTCACCCCTCCGATTAGCACTGTTGTTTCGAAGTTTGTTTTCAAGGCAAGTAAAATGGTTTTGATCGATGTTTGGAGCCAGCTAAAAGAAGATGTTTTGGAAGTGTTAATATGCGTGAAGGATTGACATGTCGCTCATTTTCGACTACAAGATAAATATGCCTAAATTGCATGTCGTTAGGTAAGTAATATTTGATTTAATTATATTAATCGAAATTTCTTATTTTTTAATCGTTACATTTAATTTTTAAAAAAATTATACACGTTACAACAAGTTGTTCGTGTACAATTTTTAACTCCGCTTACTTAAAATTGATGTAGTCGATTCCAAAATCGAATAAAGAAGGAGGGTTTACATTTTATCTATTTTAAAAAGAAAATGAAAAAAAAATGTATTTTATGTATATGTATTTTTTGTAAATGTGTTTCAAAAAAAAGAAAATCGTTTTCATTACATAAATATTTAACACTTTATAGAAAAATATTACCATATGATAGAAAAAAAAAATTTTGTCTTCATTAAATTATTTTTTTAAAAATGCATTTGTGTTCATTTATTTTTTTGTGTTAAAAAAAAAACGAGCTCGCAAGCCAAAGCTCGGCTCGGCCCACTAGCTCATGTGTATATGGGTCTAGCCAGCTCGGCTCAGCCTATTACCATCCCTAAATATCTGATAACATGACAGATCGGATATGGATTTAATAATCAAATATCCATTGGATTATCGGATCGAATCGTATAAGATAATTTCCTTAACGGATCATATTGAATTTGGGGCTCAAACAAGAGCCATATCAACTTTTATCAAAATTTACTAAAATTTTGATTTTTTTTTAAATCTAACTAGAATAAAAATTATCGAATATCGCTTGACAATTGAAAGCAAGCAATTAATTTTTTTTTTTTTTTGTATTTCTCTATAACTTTGTTTATTGGGCAGGCATAGTTAAGAGTATATCAATTTATTAGCAATGGTAACAAGATAACACTGAAAATGTTTAAAGATTAGAGACTATTATTTACTTTAATTCAACATAATATTATTTACTTCCATGTTTATATATTATAATAAAATTTGTATACAATCTAATACAACATGGCAAATGCAACCTAAGTACGTAACATTGTAGATCAATTTGTTATAGGGCCATGGCAATTATAATGAGAAGGAAATATGATAAGTATTGGGATAATCTTGAAAAGTTTAATCAATTGTTGTTCATTGGAGTAGTTCTTAACTCTAGATGCAAGTTGGAATTGCTTAAAGTTGGGTTTGAACTTTTTTTTGATGTACTAATAGCAAACATGTTGTTAGTGAAAGTTGAAAAATACTTCACACAAGTTAAATGAATGTTACAAGGAAATGATGACTTCACCAGTAGCTCCATCTAAGCATGCTACTCAACTTGGAAGCCCAAGTTCTTCACAAACTACTTTGGTTATTTTTATACCTATTCCCTCAATTTTTAAGCCCCGTTTGGCCCCCATTAAATTACATTTCATTTTTCACTCTCCTATTTTCAACCAACAATCTTCCATAAAATAATATTACACGTAAATCGAAAATTTTCCTTTTTTTTTAATCAGTCATTTAAAAAAAACACTATTCCACCCTTTTAAAAAAATGGGGGCTAAATCTATGCTTTTGCAAGAAGCTCATGTTGAAAAGAATGATTTGATAGATTACTTAAATAATCATTGTAAAGATTTGACCAACGAGCCTTTTGACATATTACTTTGGAAAAACTGAATGCAAATAAGTATAAAATTGTCTTTCAAATTGTCAAAGATGTGTTAGCTATTTAAATATCCACAATTGCTTTTGAATCTACATTCTGTACTAGTGATTGGATTCTCGATTCCTTTAGGGGTTTATTGAGTGCGGAGATGGTTGAGACAATAATTTGCACTAAAAATTGGTTGTGAGGTAACAAGGAAATTATAGTGATTCGTTAATATTTGAAAAGCATCAGATGATTCAGAGAAGGTTATAGAAGGTGATCTTTCTATTCATTTTCTTTTATATTAGTTGCCTTATACCATATAATTATAACTAAATTAATATATTTTCTCTTTTTACAATGAACGAATCATGTGTTACAATTGAAGATGTTGCCCCAACTAGTATTGGCTAATTTGTTAAAACTAAATTGTTTCTTTCATTTTGTTGCATTGTAATTATTAGATGTTTAGACATTTAGTTTATAATATTTTTAATGATGTAGCTAGCTAAGTTATAATGTGGTTTTTAAACTAATAATTATGATTTAACTGGTTCAACATATGTTATATTTTTATTTGTTAAGCTGTGATTTTAAATCGAATCAAACCCAAAAAAGTGGTTTGATTTGGTTTGCTAAGTGAAGTGATTTGGTTTGATTTGGAAGAATTTCAAACCACTTGGTTTGAAATTTTGTCTTAAGCCGTCCAAATCAAACCGTTTTCATCCTCAAATTATGGGGTTAAAAAATTATAGAAAAGTTTTAGCTTTACGTATAAAATAATTTATTGTGTGGTTTAAAATTTACCCTTGTTTGATGGCATTACAAAGAGAAATGACTGGGGAAATTAATGTTTTAAATAGTAATTTTTGAAAAATGTGTAATTAAAAAGTAGGAAATAATTTTGGGTTCACATGCAAAATATTTTATTGTGTGAATGTGTGGATGAAGATGAGTATAAGAAATAAAGAGAGCCAAACAGGTACTAGGTACGAAAAATAAAGAGTTTTGAAATAAAGAGAGTCAAAAAATTGTCAAATGTTAAGTTTATGAGAATTTTGTGTGCAATAATTTTAAAAGGAGTATGTCAATTCAAACCTAGTTGTCAAGATAATTGTTCATACATTGCAAAAATAAATACAAACCTCGATTTTTGTTGGCTTCAAGTTGTCATTTGTTTGATACGAACATAGTACCTCCCTCACCAATGAACAAACGGAGTCACAAATGAAGAATAATATATAGAATAATGTTATCTAATATTAGTAGTGTAGAACGTCAATCTAAGTATTAGCACGTCAAGGGTCATATTAAAAGAACGATAATTCCTTTTATTTAATTAAACATGTGTGCTAAAAAGCATTACTATATAAAATATAGGGACAAACTCACCTTAAGCCAAGTGCAAGCGTCTACTTGCACTGAACGTTTCTCAACCAAAAATGATCCCTAAAAAGAGCTTTGCCAAACAATTAGTTAGTGGTATACAAGTCAGACTTTCATAATCAACAAAATATGTACCAACAAGAAAGAAACCATACAAGAGATCAACTAGAATTCCCAATCTCTTGTCTTTCTGTGAGCATATATTTTTGATAGATACATATACAACTTAAAGAATTGTTGGTTTTGGGTTAAAAGAAGAAATCATTGGGTAAAAGGGAGAGGCAACCACCCTTTAGAAACTCCTAATCTCCCTCTACCCTCATTCTTTCCATCTATGCCCTTAACCCTAATTTCATCTGTCAAGCTTCGTATTTATATTGTACCCAATTCCTATTTTACAATACCTTTTTACCATTTGTGAATTCATGTGGCTTAACAATTTGAGGGTCTGTTGTAATTCTGGTATAATTTTTGGTATTTGGTATAGATTTGGAACTTTCAAGTCGCCTGCATCATTCCGCTTTCTCCCGGCTTACACTCCACGATAGATTATATCTTTATTGAGTTTAAAGTCTATAGATTAGTTAACAAAAAAATTAAATGCATATTACATACTTTAATTTAAGGGCCCCACATTTAAAGTTTGTCTCAGGTCTCGAAAACTCAAAGTTCGACTTTGATTAAACTTCGCCCACACTGAAGGATATTTCTGGTTCCACCCCCGATAAAATATGCTCATACAACATAGCAATGAATTCTATGATACAACACAAATGGTGGCTCTTTATTTTTTGTTCTCAAAACTGTGAATCCAAATATTGTTATCAATTCAAGGAGATACCACTATTTTTTAAAAACAATATTAGGTTTGGACAAAATGCTCGAATCGAACGCTTCTACTTAAGTTAAATACTCGAACGGGTATCTAAATTGAGAATCGACGAGTTCGGTTCGATTCTCGATTCTAAATCAAGAACCCAATATCCGAATCCAAATTATTTAAATTTTCTAAATAAATTTGCTAACTAGTTAATTTAGCTCAAACCAAAAAATATAATTGTCCTATTTCTAATTTTCAGTTTAAAGCCAATTTAATTAAATTGACTTAAGTTTTATCCAAATCTGTTACTTTATTGTAGTGCCGTTTCTATCATTCTGAAGAAATCAAATTGAAGCTCAACAACGTCTCTCTTAATTATTTTTAGCTCACTATCTTCCAGTTCCTATGATTTTAACAATCAAATCTATAAAGAACCCTGCTAAAATAGACGCAAAAAATAAGATTGGACTATATTTTTGTAAGAACTAAGATTAAGCATATCATTAGTTGAATTAACGTAACTTCGTAAGTATTAAAAAATTTAATTATAATACGAAACTTGGGAATCGAACTGAACCCAAATGGTTCCATAATTAAATTTGGACTCGACAGTTTCACTTACTAAATACTCGAAAATTTCGTGTTCGGTTTGGTTTTGACAACCGAACCATGTCCAGCCCTAAACAATATCATATTTAGAGTTTCATCTTGAAATATCTTCCTTCCTAGAACAGGTTGGTCGTGTTGATCAAGTGAGGTAGTTTTAAACTCCAACATAATACAAACTAACTCATCATAAAAATATATTCATTTCCCACCATGTTTTCGTTTAATATCTTATAACATATATTTGCCCAAACACAAACAAGTATATTATGCCCCTATTTGACTTAGATAGAAATTAGATTTTTTAATAAATTTTGATAAATTGATAGAACGTGTGATTAAAAATTGTAGATACAATTAAAATTAACTATGGATTTTTTATTTGATTTTTAATTCAAATTTTTAGGTCAAACAGAGATATATATCTCGTAATCATTTTTTATTTGCTTTAAAGGCTGGTACATTTCTCCCGTAAATAGACATTTGATTTTGCATAATGAAGAAAATAATGAACATTACGAGAACAATGCATATTCCAGAAAGCTGGAAAACTCCTCCTGCCCAATCCATTCGCGTTAGGGAAAAATCCTACCAGGTCTTGCCTGTACGGTAAAAACGATTTTCTCTTATCACTTTCCTTTATTGCTCTGTTACGTACATAAAATGCTTCATGAAGTGAATTAGCCGCCGATTTCTCGCCGGAGACGACTCGCTTCGCTTTTGATTTTTTTGAATTTACATTTTCTTTTGGTTTTTCTTCTTTGTGTTTCGGTGTTAAAAGGATGAAAGAGTCCTTGCCCTCGCTGTTGCATCGGCGGACCAAA